GAGATGATGTGATTTGAGAGGCCAAAGAGAGATCTCTTAACGTTTAGCCTTTCTCTGTATATATAAGTGTTGAAATTAGTTCAAGAAACACGTCCAGATTGAATTTCAAAAAAGTTGTATCACAAAAGAAAAGTTAGCCCCCTTTGACTGGAATAATCCCATGTCCACGCATGGTATATTTGCTTGCCCATGCATGGGCAAGTAAAATTGACTTCGGGTGTGGAAAAGTTGCCTCTTGGGTACACCTGTGAAATTTTTGTATTTTTTAATCCCCCAAACTTCGAAAATCATCATTTTTCTTCATTTGAGTTTTATCTAACAAATGAAAAATAAATGAGATTAAGCCATAATTAATCACAAAAACTCCTTAATGTCTATATTTAAAGGTCTTTATCAATCACCCCAAACTTGAACATTTATTTTTTCCTCAAAAAAACTACAAAATATCTCAAAAAGCAAGCATTCATCAAATTTTTGGTTAGATGACCTATCGTTTATTTCAGAATTGGAATTAGTGTGTTAATTCTATGAAAAACTTCAAAATTACAATACAAAAATCAATTTATACTTATCCAAGGTAAAACTGATGCATTCATTCGTGAAAAATTAAATAAAACATTATAAATTCACAAGTTGCTTTAATTCTCATTCCTTAATGGTCAAATATGTCATTTCTTCACTCGTAAAATACATACGCCCCAAATTTATCATTATAACTCTCATTTTCAAAGTATTATCTAATGTTGAATTTATGCACTAATCCTTACCTTCTCTAGTTTGGATATGTTTCTCTAATTACATGTTAATATCTCAACAAATAGGAATTCTCCTTTGTTTTGATTGCTTCAATCTTTAAGATTCAACTATGCTAATAATCCCTTGTCAAAAATCTAATTTTCTCAAAGAAGTATATAGGGCTGGATCAATTCATGTAGTGCATCTTCTATATCATGCACATGCTTTTTTCAAGTTTGCTATGCGTATTCTATTTCATACATTAGCTTGATCACTTTTTAAATTTTCTTTTTGGGATTTTTAGTAAGTATCCTCATTGGAATCTTGTATAGGGTAACTCTCACTCATAAATCATGGTAGCTTTTTTCCCTTTTTTATGCTATGATTAGTGCAATGTCCCTCATTAAACACTCATTCTCAAAAATCAACATCTAACTTAAGCTTTTATATCTCAAGTAATCTGTACAAAAGTTTTCATACATAGAATCATCATTCATCTCAATATCTTCCTACAATAGCTCAATCATCCACAAACTTCACTAAATTTGCCTTAAGGGTGTATAACATAATGATTTTCAGATTTAGCATCTCAGTCATATGCTAACACACAGTTCCAAATACATGCATCAATGACAACATGGATCTAACATACACAAGCAAGCAGACTAAAAGCAAAGTAAAGAGAAATTTTTTTAATGTTTTTATATATAATAAAGTAGTATAATTTCACACAATCACACACACAAAAAAAAAAAAAAAAAAAAACTCTATTTTTTCACCTCCAAACTCATCAAACATCCTCCTCAATGTCTCAAAATATCATCAAGTAAATGAAATCAAAGGGTAAATAAAGGAACAAGAGACTCCCCAAGCGCATGTCTAAAAGTGGAGGTTGATTTGGAACGAAAGTGTTGGATCTAGATATCCACTTGGGTGCGTCCTTTCCCTTTTCTAGTGTTGGTTTGTATGTTTTTAGTTGTCATGTTCCTATAATATAAAAAGAAATCAATCGTCAATAATATGGAACGGTTCTTAGTAAGCTCAAAGACATCATAACCTATAGGGAAATATGGGAATGATGATACTTAAACTACTAAAAACAATAAAAATTTATTAATCTATTTTCTAGAAAGCATAAAAATTAAAATGGAAGAAAATTGAATTACCTCCCAATAAGCGCATCTTTATGGTCATTAGCTTGGCACTAACCATCTTTATCATGGAATTCTAAAGAAAGCTTTTGATGTCTTGCATAATTTACTTTATTTGACTTTGTTCCACTTTTCATTTATTCTCCAAAAATCTATCTTGCCACTTTCAATGTAATATTACTTGCTTGTTCCATCTGATTCAAATTTAACTATATAGATTTTCACCTCCTCATCGAGCTCAATATTTTAAAAAGTGACGTAACTAAGCACTACCTAGGTGCAAAGTGGGAGCAAAATGCCTTGCCCCGTGCTTTTTTTTTATATATATACTTTTTCGTGCCTAGTTATGCTTTTAATACTTTTTTATGCATTTTTCTTTAATTATTAAATAATTTTTAGATTGATTTAAAAGTTTTAAATAGTAGTATTAAAATAAGAAAAAGTTTTTTTTATGCCTAGGCTCGCCTAGGCCTAAGCTTAGTATCTCCGCTTCCCCACGCTTTACGCTTTTTTAAAGTATTGATCGAGCTTAATCAACAAAGTCAAAAGAATATGTGTTACTTCCATTTTCATTAACTGCTACTCAGTCATTTGATACATTTGTGATTAATTTGTAACTCTCTTTATTCTCTTTTTCAATAGTTGCTATCTCCTCGGGTTGAATGGCCAATTTGCAATCTAAACTCACAGACAATGGAAAGTCTTTTTTTTTTTTTTTTTATCAATGTTTTCAAGTAAATTACATACCTACCTTTTAAATTCGTCCCATTATATGGCATCTCCCACAAACATTTTACTTTCATCCAATGTAGTAAGTTCATTATAATATCTTGCAAGTACATTCTCATTCAACAAGGGAGAACCATCTCCCACAAGTATGATGTACTCATCCCAATCGACAAGTATATAGTACCTCTACAAACATGTAACATTCATCAGATTTATCAAATACTTGTTTTCGACATCTTAATATTGTTTAAACCACAGAATTTTGACATACGAGAATCAGTGCATATATACAAGAAGTGCCAGTATAATCATATCATTGCAAAAGTTTTGCCACTTTGTCATCGTCGGAATCGTGCATACACTGCTAACTAATATTTGAAAAGAACACCAAACACAAGAGAGATCAAGATTTTGATGGGTTGTCAAAAATAATAAAACAAATTTTGAATTCAATAATGAACTATAAAATCAGTTTAAAAACTTTATTCCTCAACAACGACGTCAAAAATTTATTTATACGAAACCTGCAAGTGTACGACATTGTTGACAAGTAATAATCTGATAAGATGAGATGAGTATCATCCCACGAGAAATAAGCTTTAAAATGAATTTTACTAATTCGCTATCAACTCAAATGTAAAGTAACAAAAGAGATGTGCTGTTCATTTATCAAATTAATCTACTATTATCTAAGATAATTTTGAATCTATATATTATTATCATATTTCCAATTCTCGACATATGTGTATGATTTATGTATTTATAAAAATCAAAATCCAATTTTTAAATATCTCTCCTGAAGTAAGTTAAACCTATTATAAGTATGACCCGGTAATAATCCTATTCCAAATTCATACGCAAAGTAACAAATTCAATTATATGACTATCTATATGGTTGCATATATATCATACATGTTAATCCTAACATCTATTGTCTATGTATTAAAATTGCAAAGTTCTAATCTATTATAGATCTCACATCACTAGGGCTAGGCAAAAATTCCAAATCGAACCGAACCCGACGGTTCTTCTCAAGTTAAATACCCGAACGGGAATCTGAATCAAAAATCGACGGGTACGGAGCAATTGATGATTAAATCAAATAGCTGGTAAATATTAGTAATACTTAAAAAAAAAAAAAATCTCTATGACTTCTAGTTCAAGAAATTTTTTTATGTAGACTAAAAGGTTGAAGCAAATGAATTATTGATATGGATCGCCAATATTTCAATATTAGTATCTACTTTTTGGTATTTGTATATGTTGGTAAATTAATCTTATGGACAACTTGTTATTTATATGTTTTTGAATTGGACTTCGTTAATTTGTAAAAGTTATGATTGAATATGTTATTAATTGTATTTATGTAGTGTTGTTGTAAATGTTAAAAAATATAATTACAGTATGGAACAGGACCAAACCAAATTCAAACGGTTCCATAATTATATTTGGATCCGACGATTCCATTTGCTAAATACTCGAAATTTTCGGTTCGATTTGGTTCTAAAGAGAACCGAACCATACCCAACTTTACAAGCAACTAATTATGTAATTGGATCCAAAAGAGTTTGTATCATAAAAGGCAAGTTGACCCGTGGAGTCGGAATAACCCATGCTTACACATGGCATATCTGCTTGCTTTTGCATGGGCAAGTAAAATTGACCTCAGGTGTAAAAAAGTTGCCCCTCACGCAAGCAAGGACATCAGCATGGTAAAAATATTTTTTCCCCCTTTTTTAATCCCCAAACTTGAAAATCATTACTTTTTGCCACATTCATTTCTTCTAATTACACTTCAACTCATTGAGATTTACCTAATAAACAATAAATACGCAAAATTAGGTCATAATTAATCATAAAAACTCCTAAATGTCTATATTTAAAGGCCTAGACACTTATCCGAGAGAAGCATGGAGAATGTGGGAGGATGTGCAGCACATTCAAGAAAAAGAGATTAGTATGGAAAAAGTAACGTTATATGATGTTTATAAATGAAAATTAAAAATGGGTCATGTTTTACTTTGACCCTTATAATTTATTTACTTTGAAAAGTTCATCAAAATTCTTGTTTGTTCAAGCTTAAAAGCTATATATATATATAAAGTAATAGCTACAATTATAGCATGGAATCTAGAAGTATTATTATTTGAAACCACAAAAAGTAACGAGGACAAAAGATGTATGTCAATTACTTTATCGAATGGACAGATTCTAGCATTCCCTTGCACTAAAGGTCAATCCAAAACCTAATTCCGGTCTCCCCCTCATCTCTCTCTCTCTCTCTCTCTCTCTCTCTCTCTCTCTATATATATATATATATATATATATATAAAGTAATAGCTACAATTATAGAATGGAATCCAGAAGTATTATTATTTGGAACCACAAAAAGTAATGAGGACAAAAGATGTATGGCAATTACTTTATCAAATGGACAGATTCTAGCATTCCGTTGCACTAAAGGTGAATCCAAAACCTAATTCCAGTCTCCCCCTCCTCTCTCTCTCTCTCTCGCCATGTCTTCCCCTTCACAAAATACACTGAAGATAGGCATTATAGGTTTTGGCCCTTTTGCACAGTTCCTGGCAAAAACCATGGTAAAACAAGGCCATTCCATAAGGGCCACTTCAAGATCAGACTACACGGACCTCTGCACTCACTTGGGCATCCTATTTTTCAGGTATAAGCTATGCGCGAAGTTTTCCAAAAACCATGTAAATTTTCCAAAACACAGCTTGCTGATAAGCTAAAATGTATACATGTCTACGAATGAACAGAGATATGATTGCATTTCTTGAATCAAACAACGATGTTATACTGCTATGCACATCAATCCTGTCGGTGTCACAAGTCATCGAGTCAATTTCATTCCATGCCTTGAAGCAGCCCGTACTATTCGCCGATGTACTCTCAGTTAAGGAGTACCCAAGAGACCTGCTGCTACAAGTATATATGCAAATTGCTCAATATTTCAATACAAATGACCTTTTTTATTTTTTAGTTTTCTTTATTTTGGCTCTTAATCTAACATGGGTAGCAATATAATGTTTCATAAAGGTCGTGCCCCAAGATTCGGATGTGCTCTGCACTCACCCGATGTTCGGGCCAGAGAGCGGGAAAGATGGGTGGAAAGACCTGACTTTTATGTTTGATAGAGTTCGAATAAGAAATGAAGTTACATGCTCCAGTTTCCTTCAGATTTTTGCAAGTGAGGTAAGCACTAATTTCTTGTAGCAGATCTCAGTAAGTGTTTTAATATCCTTGATCAACACAAAATGCATCCCAGAGATATATTGATCATATTGTAATTTCATGCCATGACAAGGAAATTACTTCCCAGAATGAGAAATTTTACCAAAAAAATCAGAATTCACCAAGAAAACAGAATACCAGTGAAGTACATCGTAATAATTAACTACGAGATTTATTCATACTTGCATTCGAAACCAGATGTTTTATGCACACAAATGATTAAGTATTAATTGCATAGGGTTGCAGAATGATGGAAATGAGTTGTGAAGAGCATGATAAACTAGCAGCAAAAAGTCAATTTCTCACCCACACTATTGGCAGGTATACATTCTTCATGTATTGTCGGAACAGTTACAAGAAAGGCAACTAACATAATAGATTTCTTCTATTTACAGGGTCTTGTCCGAAGTAGAAGTCGAACCAACATCCATAGACACGAAGGGATTTCAGAAGCTTGTTCAAGTGGTATGCTCAATTTCTGATACTTGCATAAATTTTCCATTTTCATTTTTCATATAGTAACTATTACAACTTAATCCATATCTTTAGACATTCATTATATTGAAATAAGTGAAAAGGGTGAAGATAAAATATAGATGAAGCATAAACACACTAACATGGAACTACATGCAGAAGGAGAGCGCAACAAGAGACACTTTTGATCTGTTTAGTGGCTTGTTTATCTATAATAGGTTTGCCAGACAGCAGGTAGGGAATTCTCTCTGATACTTGCATAAACTATCTATAATAGTTTGTCTTCTAATCATGTATTTAAAGCAATTCAAGAATCTGAGTTTTAAATTCATGACACAGCTCAATAACCTAGAACTTGCTTTAGAGAGCGTCAAGCAACAGCTAATAAAGAGGATGAATGAGGAGCTAGATCAGAGCATATACACACCTTACAACTGATGGAGAAGGATATCAGCAGATGAACATTTTATCATTAGTCTCTTACTATCTCGGACTACCAATTTGAAGTTGATAGCAATCTTGAGAGAATCATCCTATCGTTACCCAAAACAAGTCTGAACAAAATTATTCAAACTGTACATTTATCAAAAGAGAAATAATTCATTCCCAGTATGGACCCTTATTTGACTGTTCCAGATTGGTTAGTTGAATAACTGATTGATGATTTCAGCAATGCATAGCTTAGCTCCCCATATTTTTTGAATTTGCTCTTGAAATTCGGGTCTCTTCTACAAAATGAATATGGAGATCATGTTCAATTGTATTTTTGCATCTACACTAACATATCCAATCATATTTTTCACAAGGAACATAAAATTGAACTTTAAATATCCTCAAGTCATCAAAACAGCAGGGCAAGTTTTAAACATCTGTAGCTTGGGCAATGCAAAATTGAGATAGGAATCATGAGGTTCTTAAAAAAATATACGTAGATTGATCTGTAGTTTGGGCAATACAAAATTGAGAAAGGAATTATGAGGTTCACAAAAATGATAGACTAAATTGAGTGTGCTATGTCAACAATGGTTCGGTAGTATGGTTTTCTGTTTCCCATCATTGTAATATGTAAGCTAGCCAAAATTTGAAGAACACAGTATGCACAAAAACTGGAACCCGTTCCTTAACGGTCATGCCAGAAGCTATACAGACAGTGTGACGGGAAATGTATCATCTACTGACTGTGCACTTCATCAGTGTTGGCATCTTCTGAGATGTTGCACTCTAAAGCAGCATTATTTGAAGAATCTGGATCGCAAAAGGGAATTTCTTCACTCTTACGTGCCTGAAGTCCTGTATACCGTGCAAGATCAACCCATTGCTGCAACAAAAAAAAGAACGATAAACATCAGCTAACTATTAAGCAGAATACAAAGGAGTACAAAATACAAAATCATGAAGTTTAAAACCAACTCAATTTGTGTGCTGCAGCTTAAAGAAAAAAAAACCACCTTTCAAGTACAGAACAGCAACCTATATTTTTCAAGATTTTGCTTACTGCAGTCATTACAGGTATATATAATTGGAAGAAGTGAGTTCAGATGGATGCTTTATACAGATTTCAGAATCAAGAGGATACAACCAATTAGATTTGACATAAAAGACATGCTCATGAAGATGAAGTTAAAATTCAATACATCTTATCCTAGATGTTCTCAAACACTAGATGTATCTTACCTGAGTTCCCCAGTAAGAGTTGATTGTTCGAGCTACAAAAGATATCATATTTACAAGGAATGTCTGATCTGTGAATTGTTCTGAAATCCGATGCTCCACTAATCCTGCAATAACCTGTATACAATCAATATGAACATTAGTTTCATTGTATAATTGGAGTTGAAGCTTGTACAAAAAAACAGCTGGAAAACTGAGGGACCATGAGGAAAAAATGGCAGAAGGAAACTACAGGAAGACCTATGCAGTAGGTCTTACGGCTGAATGGATAAGTCATCTAACATATGCAGCAATGATACAAATACAACTAACCTCTATGCACATTTACAGAATTAACCACTATCCAGTTAGGAATGTCAAATAAGACAAATCAAATGGTAAACAGAGTAACAAAGTCAGACTGATAGAAGAAAAAGAAAACCTCACTGAACCTGATATCGTAGATTTGCTGATGTTCCAAGAAAGCATCCATACACAAGTGCTGTTTTTAATATTGGTGATCGTTTGTTCCATTGCTTGCCAGCAATGGATGTATTTAGAAACTTCCGCACTGAATACAATATATTTGAGGAAGCCACTGCTCCAATGCTAGAAATAAATCCAACGCTGGCCAGCTTGAGACCTCCAAAAAGTACTGATGCAATTCTCTGATTCGAATTCCAGTCCTTCCCTGCAAGACTCTTCTGAAATGCGTTGTCTGGGATAGACCCCAAAAGACCTTTTAATGCTTCTATACTATCAGGTGCATCAATGTCATCACCGATTTGTAGGAACGAAAAAGTGGGAGCGGGAAGCCACACAGTGAAAAAATCAACCACTATTCCCCTTAATGTGTCTGTAGTAACGTAATCAAGCTCCTCAAAGAAATTTTCTTTACGCCTCTCACACTGCGCTATAAGGGTAGTCGTGATTGATATAGCTTCTTCTATAGCTAACCTGTGAAGAAATTTAGGATCTGCCAGTAATCTTTCTCTGAAACCCTGCACAGTGATGCATCCTTTATCAATTTATTTACATGAAATTACAAGAAGGGCAAAACAAGATACACTAAAGTCAGCTTACCTGAAAACGATGAGTTAGCTCCGAGATGATAGGATATTTCTCCAGATCAAAAAAATTCTGCAGCACTTCTGGTGATACAAGACCAAGATCTAGACCTTTTTGAAGGTCCTGAAGAACACATTAAATTTTGTCATAATGGTTTGAATAAAGACATACTATTTCAGGTTAAATATCTCAAAACAACTTTTGACTCGTCACATAAATTGAACTTCTATTCTTTCTTCCATGATGCTTTAATAATGAGCTCAAAACTTTGATTGTTAAATTGTGGATACTTATTATTGCCGATCCTAATTATCGAGGGCGAAGCCCTCAGACCAAAATTCAATCCAAGGTCTGTTTAGAAATTTGTATTCTTATAAAATTCTATTAAAGAATTGGAGTATTGTATATTTCGATTTTGCCCTAATTTTTCTTATAACTAGGGAGCCATCCTTAAACTTTATTATTATCATAAAAAAGAGAGGGGGGGCTAGAGAAGAAAGGAGTGCGATTTTCTATTGTAAACATTTTTCTTCACAGTGAATTAATTTAGCGACGTGAGAGCACATAATCTCAGATTGAGGCGAACCTTTACAAATCTTGTGTGTTCTTGAGTATTTATTTTTCTTTCATCAAAATAATTGCTCTCGGTGGAATAGGGTAAAGGTTTATAATTCTTAACATGAACTTGCAACCACAAATCACTAGACTAGCCAATGACATTCATAATTTCTGAGGAAAATGTCTAGGAGACAAAACTGGAACCTCACAAAACTTAAGAGTGCATCATACCGCAGTATCTCCAAGTCAATTCCAAACAATTATTTACATTTGAATAAAGTTACAGATAAGGAGAATGGTATGAATCATTGCAATCTTTTAAAGTTTTATGTATCTTGGGCCTCAACTTAAATTAAACAGTGACTCTTCAATTGGCTGAGGTTAATCTCCAGACGACTTGCAAGGCTTTCAACCCAACAAGGAGCTTAAATCCTCATTGAAAATCAATAAGGCAAATACTATTTCTTAATGACAATAATCAGGATACTTCTTGAACATCTTACAGTTTAAGGCTATACACCGCCATAACTTTAAGATTAATATGCTCAAAGCATTTGAACTAAACTAGAGAAGAAAGGAATCCACGAGTGAAAAAATAGATTTTCTTATGCATTTTATTTTAGCCTTTCATTTACATTAAAAGCTGATTCTTCAGTTAAGAAAGCCGAAAATTACACACAATTATTGTTGCTTTAAAGTTTAAACACATATTTGGTTTTGCTCTCAACCTAAACTGAAATAGATTAGTTACACAAGACAAGATACCATCATGCATGAATGGAAATCCAGCAATATTAAAATATATTAAGCCTAATTCTTTGAGATTTGTTACCAAAGTGTGTAGAGAGCATTTTCATATTTTGGTGCAATCTTGAACCATGATTTTCCCCTTACTTGACATAGAGAACCTTATATATTATATTGTAACAATGATTAATAGCAAGGAGGATTTTTTTTTTTTTAATTCATTTTCTGTAAGTTTTCAAGGTTCCATCTTAAAAAGTCAACCTTATCAAGTGGAGTAGCCCAAGTCCTTATATATTGAGTAATGTTTTTATATCTAACCTATGTAGGATTTACCCAGAACATTCTCGCATTGGTGGCTTTAATCCCCAGGTACTAGAACTTTTCGATGTAGAAGAAAATTTGTTGGAATGGGAAATTCTATATATCTTAATCTCTCAATATAGCAATAATCAATTCAATTAACAAAGTAATTTATCAAAATAAAAAGTCTAACTTAAAATAGATCAATAAAGTATAATAAATCATCAAATTAGTAATCATTTAACAATATTGTTTATCGAATACTACTACAAAAAACCTATATAAATCATTAGCATATTTGATTTCCTTATCATCCTTTATGTCACTCTTAGTTTCTTCCTATTAATTTCATCATAATCCGCTTTCAATAGAAACTTCTCCTTCCCTACAAATGCAGAAAAAAGGAAACAAAAGTACAGAGACAACAAGAAGGAAAGCACAAAAGAAAGAAAGAGTAGGTCTCTTGTTAAAAGACATTTACTGCTGAAAAGTGTCAACTTCACTTAGGAAAGGGTTTATCACAATATAGTTATAGGAACTAGGACACGGTTTCTTCACTTGCTATCTTCTTCAGTTCCTTTTTCTAGTATTCGGGTTTAGGTTGTGTTTAAAATAGCCCAAACAAAACCTTAAAGATTCTTGGCTATAATAAACCAACCCAAAAAGTTGAGTCCAGAAAAAATAAGAAAGTCATCCAAAAGTTAGTCGAGGAGTAAGCCTAAAAACATGGCACTCAAGACAAAGTTTTAAGGAGCTTAGTAAAGGCCTCATGTTGGAGGCTAGCCTCAATGGTTAAGCTTGCTATGCTTTTGAAAGCAATGATCAAGTGATAAGCTAAAAAGCTCCTTTGGTTTTTTGAACATGTGGTTTCCAACCACAAGAGGATTATCAGCCTACATTGTTAGAATAGAGGTCTAATGAGTAAGAATCTTTGAAGCAATAAGTTGCATTAAATATTGGTTTTCTAACAGAAATAAAGACAAACTCGATCTAACAGTACTTTTATGATATTTATATATTCTCTAGTTTTATTTCCAAAAATTAACTAGGACAGTCATAATTTTATTCGCAAAAGTTTTTCCTCACAGCCTCTAACAATTTAAACAGGTCAATTTCTTTGGATCACAGACACATACATGATTTCTTCATCACACCATAGAAATCTATGATTGAGATGGGAAAGCAAATTGTTGCTTAGACTCGTGGAACCCGCACAATTCACTAGAAAGTCAACATATTTATACCTTTATTTATTCTAAGGCGCTCCATCTCTAAAGTGATATCCAATTTTGATACACTTGCTCTACGTGACTTAGACTCGATTCAACTTGTCTTTGGCTATGAACTGTTCGTCTTGGTTGAAAATAATACTGTTTAACCCAACTAACACCTAAAGAGGGGTGAATAGGTGATTATGCGGAATTTAAAATATTTAATTAATAATTGCAACAATTCACAGTTATTAATTTATCCAGATGAATTCTCATACATACTATCATATGTTGAATTGTCGCAATATAATAAATAGCAAAAAAAGTAAATGACACAGGAAAATTGTTGACGAAGAAAATCCCTTACAGGATTAAAATCTCCGAACCCAAGTTAGTAAGAATCCACAATTAACAAATCAACTTACAGTACTACCAGACTCGACCAACACTAGTACAATCTGACCTCCTGACTGTAATTCCCCAAAGTCCTCCTGGTTGCGTGCTCCTACACCAACTCCCAACTTTCTGGTTTCGTCTATCTCCTATGGATTCCTGAGAATTCATTCTCCAACAATCGAATTCTGGTTACCTTCCTTGATCTTCAACATTTTACAGATGCTCAAGAAGTATGAGTTTTGGTGTTGGATTTGTGGTGTTTTGATGTTTTTCAATTGCAACACTCAAGCATGAAATGATTGAATGATATAGATGAAGTATATGAAGTTTTTCTCACAATGTTCAATCAAATAAATTTCGCGAAGAGGCGCAATTATTTATATATTGGATATTTTGGGTAGTATAGGCCTGTTTAAGTCTCAAAACTCGCAAAATAGGGTTTTTCGGTACGCTCGAGCGAAAGCTCACGAACAAGCGAGCGACATTGTTTCGCTCGAGCAAAGAGCAGGCGACAGCTAGCAAAGTACATTTTATTTTTTACACTCGAGCAAAAATTTTAAAGTGGCCTAGTGAAAATCCAGCAACTTTTTCTTTGTTCCAAAGACAATTCCAATGACTTTTGACTCATTTAAATAACTTGCCGCTTGACCCTTTGACTTTTTAAAATATTTTTACAATTATACTTTTGTTCACAGAGTGCCAACAACTTTAAAACCTAGCACTGGTAAACATAAAAATGCCAACAATCTATATTAAAGGTGAAAAATTGATTGTTCTCCAAGAAAATATAATCAAACAGCACAGTTACGAAACCGTTCAAAGTTTTCAAAAACATACATAAAGGGATATGTATGCAAAAATGTAGGAGCAAATATTTCCAAAAGGACCTAGGGGGAACTAACCTGTGGTAAGGCTTCTCTCTTCCGGCCAGCTGCATTCATCACTCGAGCTATTTCAGCACGATCAAAGCAATTTCTATTGCAAGGTCTAGCTGCAGAATACCACAAAAAATCAGCAACTGGGACTTCTCCCTCCCTCCGTATATTTTGTCGTTCAGGGTCAAGCAGTATAACCACTTGATTTTTCTTCTGCATTTTCCCTGAAATCCTTGCCGGCAGCCCAGTTCCTCTTGATCCATATTTAACATGGCTAGCACCCGTCACTACTACTAGCATACCATTAGATTCACCATTTTTCACAGCTTGTAAAATAGTCTGGGACATTGTGTAATCCTCAACAACTCTTGCTTGTATGGAAAGATATGAGCTTGGCCCAAAAGGAGCAGATTGATTGGGAAAAGTTATGTCAATAGATGATCTCCGAGAGATAGAAGTGAAACCTGAGATGAAGCCTGAACCAGCTGGAGGAGCAAATTTTTTACGATCAGATTTAGAAAGCCCACGGACGCCTTCAGCTTGAACTGTACGAAGGACCTACCGGACAAAAATGACAGATAATATTTGATTTAATCAATTCCTTTCATTTTTAAATAGCGGAACTTAGACATTGTAATCAATTTGAAAGAGAAAACTTAACAAGAAGATTAACACAACAAAGCTTGGTAAATAACCATGCCCAGTGATCATAGAGGTTATTATTTTGCCCATCTGAAAGATAATGATTATATTTGAAAGAGATAACATCAAAGAAATCTTGCACTTGAATTTTTTCAAAAAACCTAATATTAATTTATGAAAAATGTTGATTGCATAAGGAATCAAAATTTATCATATCATACAGAATTTAGATAAACATGATAAACATTAATGCAAGCTAAAAATTATTTTATGACGTTTGCTTTAAATGAATTTATCCATTCCTGTGGAAAAATCTCACACTAGACAATATGAAGATCTTCTTGGTTGATATTTATTTTCCCTTCATCAAGTATGATTAACATTCTAAATAAGAAAGAAACACTATGTTGCTTCACAAAAACATATAGCCCCTGTTTGGTTTAGATAAAAAATCAATTTTTTAGTAGATTTTGATAAAAGTTGATGGAATGCTTAAGAAGTTGTAGGTCCCATGAAACGTGTGGCTAAAATTAATTGTTGACTTTAACTTAGATTTTGATATAACTTTTTAGCTGAATATGTGTATGTGCATCCTACTCCTCTGTCATAATTTAACCATAATATAAGATTCCATTAGTATGGATCGAACCTCAAGCGGGACTCCACATGCAATCAGCCGAACCCCATTATCACGACAATAATTTAGGAGAGGCTCGTACTCTTGCCAACACTGAGGTGACCAATATGTTACCAAAGACTTTAAGGTCTCTCCATCAATCCTGACATGATTTATCCCAAGATTAGAACTACAAAATGCCAGGAATAATTTTATGATTTCAAGTAAATGAGAATCAGAATATCAAAAATAGTAAAGCCCCTTTCGTTTAGCTAAACCAAACAAGGGCAAGTATAATATTAAAGACACTCATAACCTCCAAGTTCCTCACAGAACACAAATCATTCCAGTTCTTATGCAATTTACTTATCTAAATCCTCAGATATAAACCATTAACCAGCTGACCGATTGATACTAACCCCCCAAGTCCAAACTGCCTATTTACAGATAATTTCCCGAGGTGTAGCCCATATACTTGCATCTAAATTAATCCAAAATTATTATTTACTGATTCAAAACTGTACTAAATTGTTAATGTCATAAAATGAAAATTGAAATTTTGCTTTCGAGTGAGAAATTCAACCCTTTCTCCATGTACTGATTGAGCTGTCCCTGTAAGTTGCATGGAAAAGCTTCCAGAGCCAAAGAAATCGGGCGGTCAGCTTCTAGGCATCTCTTTCTCAAATTCTTGACAATATCAAGCTCCAACACTTTGTCATCTCGTATGGGAACCTGCTCCGCTTCCCCTAAATACACAATCCGAGCATTTATCAGCTTCTCCCACACCTTATTATTGTCCTTCCCCAGAGCCATTGGCTCCCCTATCACCGTAGCATCATATATCCTCGAAATTTATCACCTCATCCTCCACCGCCGCCGGTTGCTGCCCGTCCGCCGTAGTACTCACCACCTTATGCGTCTGCGTCTCTATCTCCGCCGGTGATTTATCTTCAGCTTTGGCCACTGCCGACTGTAGAACACAAGCTCCAATAGCAATGAATGGAGTAATGATCACATCCCGCCGTTTCGCCTGACGGCCACTGGCCGTCGCAGATACACTGAGCCGCCGAATGGAATATTCCGGCGCAAATTTTGTTAAATTCTGATTAAATCGCCGGCGAATTGGGTTTATGCGTGGTTTAAGACTTGAGCATTGAAGAGTGGCGGGTTTCATTTTTGTGTTTTTTTTCCGGTTATCGGCCGGGCACCGGAGGTGGTCCAATTGATAACGTATTTTATTTGAGCCTTGTGGTTGTTTTGATTTTATTTTTTTTGATTTTCTGACGTGGCAGATATGCGTAATTTTAGTGGTGAGATTAATAATTCGATTCTGTGGTTACAACGGTACAACGTGGCTCAGATTTTGGCAGCAAGTTGTCCTTTGATTTTCTAAACTATTTTTAAATAAATTTGAAAATATATGTAGGAATCGCTAATTTTATTTAAAATTTTTATAAATATATTTCCCTTTACATTTATTTCTACTATAATTTTATTTTTTTTAAAAATGTATTATATTCAGACAAATCCCATACCAATATTATCCTTAGCCCCTGTTTGACCCCCATTATCTGAAAATGAAAATGGGGGGAATAGTATTTTTTAGAAAAATGAGTAGTTGAAAAAGAAGGAAAAATTTTCGATTTGCGTGTAATATTATTTTATGGAAGATTGTGTGATTGAAAATAAGAGAGA